CGCTTTGTTCGTCGCCGGCCGCGCGCGGATCAGCCATTTTAGCGAGCGGGGCTCAGGAGGCGCGGCGACCGCCACCAACGCCGCCACTGGCAGCCCGGTCCCCACCCCCGGCGCGCCACCGCCGCCCCCGGTCCCGCGCGTTCCCCGGGGGTGGCGGCGGCGGATTTCAGGGGCACTTTCTTTCATCGGGAGGCTTGGGACAAAATGGAAGGTGAATTACGGTTGTCCGGGGAACCCGGCGCGGGCGCCGAGTGGAGGAGCCAGCTGCGGGCCGGGGCTTCCTCGAGCCAGCCGCCGCACAGCCTGAGCTGCGGCTGCAGGGCCCGGAGGCGATCGCTGCCGAGGGGAGCACTTGAGCTTTTCGTGATGACCTTGGGTGCTGCAAAAGGAAAAGATGGCGGGAAGCTGGGAGGTGGGACAGGGACGAGGACATGCCGCAGCTGCATTTTTATTTGGAAACTTTGGAGAAAGTGTTCCTGACTGGACCTACATTCCTTGTTCCACAAGGGCGAGACAAGCCCTTTGGATATCTCCTCCCCTTTTAGCTAGTGACAGAGTGACATAGTGGAACTAACAGTACAAGGACTGCCTGGTCACTTTCCACATTGCCTGCTAGAAATAAAGCCAGTTCTCTGAACCAAAACACACCCACAACAGTAATAGCAAATGTTCCCAATTTATGGGTTTTTTTTTTTTTTTTTTGCTTTGATCTTAGCAGTTTTTGTTTTTGTATTTTTCAAACACAGGAGTTAAAGGGCAGCCATCTAGGCTTACCCACGGATTGCAGTCTTCTGCTCCCTACCCCTTTCGCGTGTGCCCCCGCATGTCTTGCTCACTCAGCCTCGACACCCAAGGCATCCAAGCCGCAAGTAGCTCAGGATCGCAGCACCAGTCAGCCCGGTTTAGTTGGCCCCAATTGGAGAACTTGAATGCAAGCACGTTACAAACCAATGCGCTTCCTGCCAGTCCCAACTTAAATGACAAGTGATGGTGAAGCCAATGTCCTTCGCATTCTGCTTTCTGCTAGAGCCATCAGGCACTGGGGGTGTGGGCTTCCTGCTGGAAAATGTAACTGTCCTTTAAAGTTCTCCACTTCTCATTCTGTTCCTTCTGCTTCTTTGTCTCCATGGCAGTCAGGATGGCTAAGGGGGACCCCAAGAAACCAAAGGGCAAGATGTCTGCATACGCCTTCTTTGTGCAGACCTGCAGAGAGGAGCATAAGAAGAAGAACCCCGAGGTCCCTGTCAATTTCGCAGAATTTTCCAAGAAGTGCTCAGAGAGGTGGAAGGTATTTTTTGCTTCCTTTGCATTTCACAGTTTACTTTCCAGCTCCCTGTGCCCCGCCACTCTTGTTTCTCTTTGGGGTCTTGGGGCTTCAGACTGACCTTGGTCCTCTTTGCAGCCTTTGCCTGTAGTGGTGACAGCTGCCACTTGAGTCACAGGCAAGCCACATAGTGTGCTTCCTGTTTGGAGGGATTTTAACCAGCCCCTTTCTTTGCAGACAATGTCTGGGAAAGAGAAGTCGAAGTTTGATGAAATGGCCAAGGCAGATAAAGTTCGCTATGACCGAGAGATGAAAGATTATGGACCCGCGAAGGGAGGCAAGAAGAAAAAGGACCCCAACGCTCCCAAAAGACCACCGTGAGTGACTGGAGCACTGCATGTAACAGTTGTAAACTTCCCTGCTGCTTGAAAGATACCTTCCCTAAAGTACCTCTGCAGAATACTCAAGCTCACTTAAATGTAGTGTGAGTGCTGGCCGTAGTTGAGCCCACAGTGTCCAGGCCGAGTGTGTGCACAGTGGTGGCTGGGTATGTGCACAAGTGCACGGTGCTGGCCTGTTGCCCTTTTACTCAAAAAGTGACACCCTAATGCTGGGTGCTGCAGCTCCCTGGGCATGTTCTTGACTCCATCCTGAGTAATGGAGAGCCCATGTATTTCTACCACACCTTAAGCAGCCTAAGAAGCTGCAACTCTTTCAGCGCAAGTGGTGTGCAGTTCTGGTGGTAAGCAAAATTTGTGCTTTGGAATGTGGGGAGTCGACGTAAGCTCACACTTATTCATTTATAAATGCATTTGGTTGTTACAGCATCTCACTATGCAGCTTGGACTCATAGTGGTCTTCCTGTTTTCAGCCTCCCCAGCACTGGCTGGCTGCGCTGCTGCCCTGACTGGGTCAGCTGAGCCTGCCCTGGGGTGGGGCTGACTCAGCATGTGGTGCTGGGGATCTGTCCGAGGTCTCTGCACTTCCCATTTCGCCAAGCTTGCCTGAGCAGGGGCTTTAGCCCCCTGAGCTGGCTCGCCTGGCCCCCACATTTATTTTTTGGTTTATCCTTAACTAAATTATATATTTCTTCCCCCTGCCCCAGGTCTGGATTTTTCCTGTTTTGTTCTGAATTCCGCCCCAAGATCAAATCCACCAACCCTGGTATCTCTATTGGTGATGTGGCTAAAAAGCTGGGTGAGATGTGGAATAATTTAAGTGACAGTGAAAAGCAGCCGTACATCACCAAGGCGGCGAAGCTGAAGGAGAAGTATGAGAAGGTAAGGCTGCTGAGTCTGCCTCCAGCATGCGGATTTGCGACTCGGTGGGAGTCCCGTGAGGGGCTGTCCCCCCATGAGATCCCCTGTGCAGCCAGCTGTCTCCATGTCAGCCACATCTTGAGGGTTCAGCTTTAGGCGGCTTATAGTTTTGTCCTTTTGTTTTTTGCGCTGCTGGGTGTGGAACTCAGGGCTTTCACACTGAACTACATCCCCAGCACTTTGTTTTGTTTTGGTGGACCCAGGGATTGAACTCAGGCCCTTGCGCTTGCCAGGCAAGCGCTTATTCTACTGAGCCATCTCCCCGGCCCCTAGCACTTTGTTTTCATTGAGCTGGAGCCTCACTAAGTGGCTGGGCCTGGGCTCAAATTTGGGATATCCTGCCTCAGCTTCCTGGAGTGCTGGGATTTCAAGCATATGCCCCTATTCCTGATTTCCGGCTTACTCTTTAAAAAAAAATAGTAAGGCTGAGTACGGCTCAGTGGTAGAGTGCTTGCCTAGGCTGTGTGTGTTTCAGTACAGCTGTTAACATGACTTCAAGGGTACTTCACTGAAAAACCAATGTCCCCATTCCTTCTAGGATGTGGCTGACTATAAGTCTAAAGGAAAGTTCGATGGTGCAAAGGGTCCTGCTAAAGTTGCC